CACTCAAGCGGGCGCGCACACACACCCAAGTGCGCGTGCGAACACACACACACACACACACTCTCTCTCTCTCTCTCTCTCTCTCTCTCTCTCTCTCTCTCTCTCACACACACACACACACAAATACGCATAAATACACACCAAGCAACAAGTACTGTCCGTCGCCCTGTGCTATATACAAAAGGAATAATAATATTATTATTTCAACAGAAATAACAAGAAATAGCAACAACTTAAATAGTAGTTTTGGAGCACAGTGATAATATTAACACGACAAAATGGTCGCTTTTAAGGACAAGCGGGCTAAACCGGTGGTTTTCAGAAATCTTGACCAGCACCAAAAGTGCGCATTACCCTACCTATTGGGGAAGCTTGGTTTTATTGTTGTGTATATGTGTTTGGTTATAGAGAAAACTCTCCTTGTCTTTTGAAGAAACTGAATAAGGGGCAAAAACTTTTCCTTCGGTTTTCTCGAAAAAACATTTTTCGGGATAGACCCTTGTTCTTAAAAGCGACCGTATACACCCACCACCCTGGCCTACAAGCCAAGTTTAGAGTTCTTTGACATTAAGGCCAACTAGAAATCTAGTCGTCATGGCTATATAATTATTGTGATGGCAGTTGACAAAATGAGTTACTTCTAGCAACTCACAATTAATGGATACGTTGCCAAAAATAGGGAAGGAAAACCGTAATGAGTGACCACAAGGCCTATACTTTGAAATAGATAGAGATTAGAGGGTTATGTTAGGGTTAAGGTTAGGTTACGTTTCTGCTTTATTGTGTTTGTAGGGGTGGTCACTCGTTACGGAAGTCCTTCCAAATTAGATACAATAGATTTGTAGCTCTTATTCTGATGCCATTTTCCTGAATGAAGTAAAAAAAAAAAAAAAAACCCCACCTAAGCCCATTCTTTTCTTGTATCTAGCTGTGTCCAAGAGGCTGAAATCCGAAATCTGATCCATTTTGTCAGCGCACCTCAAATTTAATGTTTTCTTCTCAGCTCACTTATCGAGTTTACTACCTCAGTAAAAACAATCCCCGCATCTTTCCTGACCATCGTTATCATCATAAATAATGTATTTATATAGGCACCAGCCATCCTTGTCCAGGTGCTGTTTCTTTCCGGTCATTTCTTTCCTTTAGATATGAAAAATCTTGCATTTTTTCGGCATAACATGCGCAATAATTACTTTATACCCCTATCTTATTTTCTTATTTATACCTTTCATACTGTTTGCCAGGCAAGTATAACATCTTATTTTTTTTACCTTAATGTTAGACATTTTCTTTTCCAATCGTATACTATTACTGTTAAAACTTGACTTTTCAATGAAGGAATCCGTCATACGTTACTTTACAAAAGAGCGTATGGTGTGAAAAAGGTAAAATGGTATGGATTTAATGTCCCTATCAACACTAGTAGGTTATTTGAGAGGCGGGACCTCCAAGTTTAACGTCCATCTCTGACATAACTGAGCCAAACAGGAATTTCGTGTGAAGTGCCCTTCCCAAGGACACAACGTCGGACCGAGCTGAGGCTAGAACCCCCGAACCTGCAATCTCACGAATACGCACCCGGTTGCCTAACTACTAAGCTTCCAACGCCACCAGCGCATGGGGGAGTCTTTACACTAATGTTAGCTTTAGTAAGATTTTACGGCGCTCACAACTGCATAAGGTCAAATGAGCGCCAAGGGGTGTATGTCAACAGAAAAGTTCAAACAGGGAATCAGGCTTACTCTGCTCACCTCTCTAGCTTCAACAGCACAAAGTCTGCTTCGACTATCAAGGCACCCCGGAAACAGCAGGTCACAAAAGTGTGACAAACAAAGAAAAGAAGTATATGGAAAATGACGATACTAAGGATTAGGAAAGAAAAGCAGTAGTTCCCTGTTGCAGTTCAGGCACATTTATGAGCATGACATTGATGAATCAGCCCATTTACAATTACAATTCTACTGTGCATAAGAACATGGTTAATGTCCCTCCTTTGGGAATGGCCTAAAGACACTTCAGTTGGTAGCACCACCCCGTGGGGGTATTTACACTATAAGCAGTTGGATAATAATATGACTTTGTTTTGTTCCGCAATACTATTACTGGCATCATTACATTGCCTCGGTTTGTTTCTTGTTTGTCTTTACATTTGTTTTTACTTTACAAACAGTAATGGATTGAGGGAGTCAAAGAAACCCTATAAGAAATTATAACATCCCAACTGAAAGAGCTGCAGAGCTGGCCTACCATTGTAAATAAATGCATCATCTTCTCTCGACGCTTTAAGGCAACAGAGGATGAAAGAAAGTTAAAGTAAGGAACTCATAGTATGTAGGTGTTTTAGTTTTAGTAGAGGTTTTGCGGCTCTCGCAGCTGCAAAGTCATATGAGCGCCAGAAGATTAGAGGTGTTACAAGAGTAACAAACATAAAAAAAGAAGGGGAGATAGAGGACGATAGATTTTTCTTAGGAAAGAAGAAGCAAACCACCCCAGAGCACTCACCAACCACCCACGTATGTGTGCGTGTGTGTGTGTGTGT